AAAAAGTTTTGTACTATGATGCTGCACGAATCAATCAATTCTCTGGCAAACTAGAACCTAAATGGAAAGGACCTTATTGAATTCATGAAATTTTAATAAATGGATCTTATCGCTTAAGGGAAATAGATAAACGCCAAACTAGTAAATGATGATCTACTGAAATTATATCACGATCGGCAATCATGGGAACCAATAGTAGTGATTACATAAGTAATAATTCTAAACAAATATAAATAAAACCTTAAATTCTTGAAAAATTCAGCAAATAATGGAAAATCTTTTTAACGATCTCATTTAATTAGAACCCACTTTTGTATCTGAGTGGAATAATCCTTATCACGAAATGGATAATCCTCGAACTAAAGCTCGAAAATTGCAACAACAACTTCGACATTGCAAGAATCTGAAGAATAGACTTGGAATGTTAATAAATATGTATTTCATTGGAGAACTCTTAGATTCATTAGAAGATATAGATTACAAACGAGTAAAATTAGTACTAAGTTCATATCAGTACGAAGTATCAAACAAGACTTTTATTTATTTTCAGAAATTGGAACAACTCAATTGCTTAAAACCAAAATGTTGACGACCACACAAATGAAACACCTCATGAAAATAGAAATCCAGAACTTGATTTCAAGGACAAAATTATTTCTCACTATGACGTTCGAAATTCAAGTAGGGGAAGGATTGTTAACAGAGCAATTAACCAGTCATAATGAAGTTACGTGGATGACGCAGTATAATGATCTCTTAATTCAGAATTCTGAAAATACTGAGAATTCTACGAATTCTAAAAATATGGAGGATTTGCGTAACTCTGAAGATCTTACAAATACTGATAATAATCATAATTAAATGAAGTTTAAGAATAATTGGTGTTATACGTATTTTTAATATTCTAAATTTTATTATTATTTTTATTTTATTTTATATTTTTATGTATTCTCAATGTATTTATTTTACTTATAGTTTATTTTGCCAAATTAGTTAGTCTATAGCATAGTAATTAGTTAACTGTGACAAAAGAGATTTTGTATAAATAGATAGACTTTTTGCTTATGTTGTAAATTAATTCTTTTGCAGATTTGTAAATTCTTTTGCGAATACGAGTTTCAATATTAATAAAGAAATCAGTTAAAACTTATATCTTTCTGCCTCTTCGTGTCTTCATATAGTCTGACGTAATCTCTACACATTATTTGTAATTGAGTTCATCATTCAGAATTCTTTAATTAAAATTGTTCATAATCTCGTCTTTCAAGTTTTCATACTTGATAGATTTGTTTAAGTTCAACGCGTAGATTCGGTAAAGTTAAGAGTTAGGCAGATCCTAATGTCTTGACCGCAGTAAGCCATAGTTAAGAAATTTCGAGTAGAGACTTGATAACATGACTATCTCGAGTTGAAGAATTCTACGGTGACAATGGATACTTATAGAAAAGGTATTAGTAGTAAATTGGCAAAATATGTCATCAAGAAGTATAAATCTCATAGAAGAATTCCAGACAGAATTTTGGAGGAATTAAATAAAATTAAATAATTTTTTTGTATTTTTTTGTATTTTTCGTGTAAAAAAAATTTTGATTTTTGACTAATAAAAATCATTTTACGTGACTTAACCGACAATTAAAATTTCGGATTAGTTGATGACTATAGATGTTATGCATCATAAAATTTAGTAAAATTATATTAAAAAATCTGCAAAATTCTGAAAAAAGTAAATTATATCAAAGTTTATAAAATGTAAAACTATATTAAAATCTTAGTAAAAAATTAGAGAAATTAAAATTTAGATATTTTGCATCTTAATTCCAAATTTAAATTATCAAGTAATAGATATTTAGTCATTTTTTTTATGATTTTATCATATTCTTCTGCAATAATTTAAGAGCTAGTAAATATTTGATTATTTTTGATTCAAATTGAAAACCTTTTATAATAGTTAAACAATTTTTTAAACAGTAGTTCTAGTAGTATTAGATTGGAATGGTTAAGGTTAATTTTTTAATTCTTTAATAATATTTGATTTTTAAGGATTTTGTTTGCTTTAACTTAGATATTAAAAGTAGTAAATGAGTTTTTTTCTTTAATTAAAAAAAAAAATTAAAAGTGTGAAATTTAAAAATTAGAATAGAAGTTAAAAAAACAAAAAACAAATAGACATGTATTAAAAAATTAGAAGAGAAAAAATATTTTGCAATAATTTTATACTAAAAAAAAGTTTTTTTATACTGCATCATAAATCATATGATATTGTATATCATTATATATAGATTTTATATTATTATATGTGAATATTATTATAATACAATATTAATTTATATTAGAAGTATATGTAATATCTATTATAAAATAAAATAAAGAGATTTATTAATTAAAATTAATATATAAAACTAATTTAATTGTAACATTTTTAGACAAAAGATTTTTTATCATTATAAGACATTATTATTCATTATATTAATAACATCATTATATTCAACCTTGACTGTATTGTAAAATTTGTTATATCAAAAATTTGTTATATTAAGAGTTTACTATATTTCAAATAAAAATAATATGTTTTTTATTTTATTATTACTTCTTATATTTTTTATTTTTCTTAAGTCTATTTATAATACAAATTAGAAATGATTAGAGATTTTTAATATTAATATAATTTATTATTTTTAATTATCTTTGCCAATTATCAAATAAAATACATTATCAATCTTTTTGTTTCTTGCAATTGTAAATTAAAAATTAAATAATATAATATTTATATTAAAAAAATAAAAAAATATTTAATTTTAAAAAATATTTTATAAAAATTTATATATACTAATAATTTTATATAATTAAATTTTTAATTTTGACATCATCAAAATTAATTACCGCCAATTACGTGTAATGATTTACAAGTTAAAGTTATTTACTTTAAGAAATTAAGTTTATACTAATTTTTTTATTTTTTATATAATGTAGCAATTTATTTTATGCTTACTGCGGATCACTGATTATCTAGCAAAAAAATTGAAGCAAACTTAAACTTTAATTTTGACATAAATTTAGATCAAGTTGAAATTCCTCCTTAAGAATATATCCAAGGTCAACTTCAACGAAAAGAAAGGAGACGCTCATGAAAAAATAATTATGAAATTAACTGTAGCTCTTTTATTAAACTAGATCCAGGAATCAGCATAAAAATGAATCTTGCTTATATACAACAGCATACTACTTCAAACTCGATTAAAGAAAGGGATCGTGTTCAGCAAAATAAAATAAATGACGAAAGTGCACTAAAAAAGTTCGGACGAATAACTAAAGTTGATAAAACTAAATTTCGACAGGCTTTCAAGATTCTGTCAGGACTCAAGTCTGCTCTTGCTTCGACAAAATCTACAACAAGTTCTTTAGAAAAATGCCTAAAGAGCAAAAATAGTATTTCATCTGATAATACCCTATTATCAATGGATGATCATATAGTTAACGACATAATGGATATTCATGATGTAAATGAAATTCATATTTGTTCACCTAATGTTGAAAATTCATTAAATATAACTCAAGAAGAACCTCTAGAGCTTGTTTTGAGTAAGTCAAAAGATCAGGAGAGCCCTCCACAACAAGAACATGTGAATCCAACAAGAGAAGTTCAGGAGAATCATTCGAAACAATATCAGGTGATTCAACTAGATAATCATTATAATTCCATTGATTCTGATAATGAATCTCTAAGAATAATATCTCAGATTTTACCACGGTTCACACTTAAGCTTTCTGATGATTTAAAAGAAGATTTTCAACCTGATTTACCTATCTCGACATCCATTGAGAATACTGATATCATAGTATACGACTCTGCTGACCCCGATTTTGACGACGATGATTCCATTATAACTGTCGTTGAACATAAACAAAATATGACAACGAGAAGAAAAATAAGGTTTGATGATTTTGTGAGTTAAAAATATGATATTTAAATTTTACAAAATTTAGTTCTAATCTTATTTTAGCATGAATCGAGTAACAGACGGACTTTTTTCATCTATATCCCAAAATGATCTTCCTATAAGTTCTCTCTCAAGACAAACAAGTGCAAATAATCAAATCTCTAATGAATATAATAATTCAAACGCTCATATTATAGATATTGATAGCGAAGGTGACTATCAATCCGCTATAACCTTTCTTTGATTAATTATAATAAGACTCACTAATAAGGTTGATTTCATTAGACGATGAAAGTTCGAAGAAACAAATCACGAAACAAAATATACGAAGTGATCATCATAAACCGCAAAGTAATACTTTGATAGATAATACGGAATATTCTTTTACTTCTTTAAGAAATGTACCTAAAGTTCAAGAAGATCAAAATATTACTAGAGACGATACTAAAAATCATGAGGACATTAAAAGTTTAACATCGGAGAAGGTTCCTGTCATTAATAATCGAAAAGATCAATCTACTAATTTTTTGACAGCTAATAAAGAGTCTACTATTGACTCCATAAATAAACAAAATGTTCGAAAAAGGCAAAATTCTCATTCAGTAAATAAAATGAAACTTGACGCGACATCTCCAACTGGATCCAAGCTTAAAGAAGGTCAAAGCATTTATAATTCACGCGTTAGTGTAGAACCACAAGATAAATCAAAAGTTCGAGAAAACAAAAGTAACACTTCTATAGTAATTAAGAAAGTTAGCGTGGCAGTAGAACCTCAAATTCCTAAGGATCAAAGCGTTACTGTTATAGAGAAGGAAGTTGGCGTAGAATTTTCGAATACATCTAAAGTTCAAATAAGTAATTCTTCAAATCCTTCGGTTGGCGTTGAGTCTACGAAAGATAACATTAGTCGTAGTAGTAATTTGACATCGGCTAAGGACATTAGCAACAAAGTTAAAAGGATTCCGAGAACAAAAGCATTATCATCTAATAAAAATATGCCCAACCAAAGAGCAAAGTCAGCTGTTAAAGAAAATTCAAAAAATGATAATAAAAATAAATTTGTTGCAAGTGCGACATCAGCCCCATTACCTTCAATATCAAATTCATCTGTTAGTGAAGTTGTTCCCGTAAAGAACCCTACAAAGAGGCCTGCATCTGATGAAACTTCCGGAGATATACTGGGGCCAATATTAGAAATGCTTGATAACCGGAAGAAACTCAAGAAATTCGACGCGGAGAGTGTAGTTAAAAAAAATGAAATTTTGGCGACGCAGAATCAATCTATGATTGATAACAATATTCCTAATTTAACGGATGAACAATCAAATTCTCGAGCAGAAACGAATGCATTATTGAGTATACCTTTAAACCTACCTTACTCTTCGATGTCTGCAGAAGAACATCGAGAATTTCTTCAGATAGATTCAATGGTATATTATAATGTAGGTTATCCATTTTTTATTTAGGAACGTGCTCATGGATAAATTACTGACAGAGTTTTTTTATTAGCCGGAATTGGTTTCAAAGGAGCAACAAGATTTTTATAAGATGATGTTGGAACGAGTAAAAAACGAAAGGATGAATTTTGAACAATGGCAGTTTAAAAGGTCGAAATTGTTACTAGGCCATTTGAATAAATTAATTCAAAGCCAAGTCGAGGTTAGCAATATGCTTATGATTATTCGGTATATGTCAAAATACAATTAATGTGTTAATATTTATTTATTTAGAACCACTTAAAATACGGTAGACGTAGCAATATCAATGATTATCCGGTAAGTAAATCAATATTTAATTACGATATTTCAAAATTATATAAGGTAGTATTACAAATGTACCTTTTCTTCCTTTTCTTTTATTTTTTAGATAGTAGAACTAACAATTGGGCTTAATCCGGCCAGTCCCGAAGGGCCCGAGTTAAAATTCAAACAAAGGCTCGGTTCGATCGTACGGTTATTTCTCTATTTTAGCAAAAACGTGGCTATTTTATCATTCTTTATTATAAACATAATTATATATTATTGTATTTTTAAAGGGAAGGTGTTTTGAATTTTCGAATTCATCGATAAATCAAATTCCTATTTCATTAGACAAGAAACTTTGGCTAGATGATATTCAATCTGTTAATACAATGACAACGGGATCCAAGAGCATTGAAATAAAAGATTATTGGCAAAAGACGGTAAATGATCTTATTTTGCAGTAATAAAATAATTTCTAAATCATAAAATATTTTGTTTTATAGAAAACTCCCGTGGTTAGCCAAGACCCATTAATCCCCGAAATACTTTCGAATCATAAAGTTGACATTGTAATTTCTTCCGGGGGTTTAGTTGCGCTCATTGGTTTAGTCGAGTCTATAGATGATGAGATGGAAATTCCGATTAAAATAATCGAGACAGCTAAAGGTAATTCTAAAGATATATTTTATATAAAAATTGTGAAATTACTAATAATTGTTGTTATATCTAACTAGAGAATTCTGTTCTCAAGACTATTTATATTGATAAACCATTTGTTAAAAAGCAATTTACACCCCGTGAGATAAATCAGATTTACTATAATACAGCCTTTGAAAGTATGGCATTGAAAACGGATACTTTTGTCGAAATCAATGATATTCAAGTGGGCAATACGACATACGAAAAAAAGTACGAAAATAAAAATGCAGAATTACAGAATAGCCTAGAATATTCGCTTTGGGATATTGGAGAATTGAGTATTTTGGTACGATGTAGATCTAGTGGATATTCTAACGAACCGGATAAAAAGGTTGGTTAGGTATTTTTTTTTTTTTTTTTTCCTCTACTTATTTAAAGTGATGATATATTGCACAATAATCCTTTGGATGATCTAATGAATGTTATATTGACATTATTTAGATTCGTACTGTGGGCATTAAAACAAAATTGGAATACCAACTGGATTATAATTTTGAAAGTATCACGAATGTTGAGCGAGCGCGCTGGTGGATATACTCATTAATACGCGATAAAGCAGATTTGATGCTTGGCCGAATCAATGTTCCAACGAATACTTTATATGTAATCGAAAAGGCATCAACGGAACAAATCCTTCCTGATGAAGCTCGGTAAGTTAGTTTATTTATTTATTTTAAAATATTAAATTTAAGGTATACTAATTGGTACTCTTAATTATTAGAATGAAATTACTTAATAAAAGGCTACATTATATCTTCAAGCATTTGCAATGGTATTTTAACTATATACATTAATATACTTCTTGATTCTTTTAACAAACCTAATTTTAACCTCTTATTATTCGTATTTTTAGCTCATTATCTAAAGGATCATATCTCCTTCATCATGAGAAAAAGGAGCCTTATGTTACAATTTATAAGAGTGTTGAAAATGCTGAAAATTCTTGCCCTCTTCAACCGTTGATCAATTCACAGGAAATCAACTTACAGAGTATTAAGATCGATCGTGACACAATACCATTTGTGCCATTATTGTGGAAAGGCTCACAAGCTCAGGTAGCAGGTACATTTCCCATTCGAGTCGAGCCAATTCGAACAGGTCTCGTTCGAAAAAATATCTGTTATGATTTTGTTCTTTTTGGGAAATGCAACAGAAAAAAGGTAATTATAATTAGTCCGTTTTTTTGTTTATATTGAAATTCTTTTAGAAACGCTTAATTTTTTATAAATATTCTAGTGTAATTTTCATCATGTACCACGTGAAGAAATTGAAAAATCAGACCCCGACTGGATTGCTTCAATAGCAAAGACAAAGAAAAGAAAAAGGATGGATAATAATAATAATAATGGTGGATGTGATGATCTGCAATACATTGCCGATCATGTAATCGAAAGGAAAAAATTTAATGAATTTAATGATATTGATAATATGTTGGAAACGGATAAATCTTCGGTTCCTGATTTCACAACATTATTAAACGATTTTCAAAAGTAATTAAAAATATATGCAGGATTTAAGGAAGTTTATGTAAATTTTTCACTGGGCGCAAATGATAAAAAACCTTCAGAGTTAGAATATAAATGCAAATGATATATAATAGTTGGACAAAAAAAATAGTATTAAAATTAACTCGATTATTTATTTTACAACAGATCTCTAATAAAAATCACAGAATTACGTGATATTCATAGATCAAAGTTTTGATCATCGAACTTCGTTTTTGCGAATTAATTTAAAACCTTAAGGAAAAAAAGTGTCCATAAACATTCGCATTAATAACCGAATTGATTTAAATCGCCACAGAATAAAAAGAATGGTTTCACATGATATCACTGAATTTTGTTTAACCAGCAGAAAATCTTAATTAGAATTCATTTTTGGCTTATATAGAGAATAACGTGTTCAAATGAAGAAGCATTAGTAATCGGTTCCAAAAATATATCATCTTTAATGTGGAATCAAATTTGATGCGTCTGTATTCTAAGGATTGAATAGGGAAATTTGTTACTTGTGTAGAACTTATGTCAGTAAGAGTTTCTTAAAATTGTATATCAAAAGTTTTAATCAAGGTGATATAGGAAACCATTCTATAATTATGCACTAAATTTAAGCAAACTGACCATATTAATTATGTATTGATTTGAGTGTAAAAGTAAATATTTCAAAAAATACATTTTATTTTATATTAATAAAAACGCTTTAGAGGAAAATTCAACGCTTAATTAGTGATTAATTTTATTATTATGGATATAAAAAAATCAAAATTTCTCTTTAGGGGATCTATTCTTTTTATAAGGATTTATAACAAAAAAATAAGGATAAATAAGTATTTTTAAAGAAAAAGATTTTTTAGTATAAAATCAAATGAGTGGATTGAATAAATAGGATCTATCCCACAATGACACTCTCATTTTAAAATCTTTTAAAATTGCGTAATTAAATAATAAATTTTTGACCCAATGATTTTACCTTCTTTTTTTTTAAGAGCACTATTTTAAATATTTTCTTGTGTAACCATCGGGAAATTTATGGATTTTTTTAAAAGTTGCTAACCCCGTCTTCTTTCCTCTACTTCATTTTTTTTTCTTCGTAACCTTTATTTTTTTAATTATTTGTTTTATCTTTATTTTTTCTTGTCAAACAAAATTACGAAAATTAACGAACTTCATGTTATAATGAACTTGTGATTTTTTACATATTTGTTAATACGGAGTATCCATCTTTGAACCGAGAACTTTTCATTCAACTTGATTGAAATTTTTTTTTTTTTAAAAAAAAAGGGCTTGTGGCATTTAATTAGGAAAACATGGATGATTTTTATAAACCTCCATATTCATCAGCACTTCAACGATACCACCACCGTCAATGCACCATTAAATCCATTACCGGCAAAATTTAACGCAATATTACAAACAATGTAGGATTAGATATATCCATATTAAATCAAACTCAGTTTATCCCAAATAACCTAAGGGTTAGACCCATGTGAAACTGCCCTGAAATTACAAATTACTTGCCAAATGTAACATTGACCTACGGTGAATCGGTATTAAGCTGCTTCGTTGGGAAATGTTGAAGTTGTTAAAATCTTGATTAATGATAATGCTAACGTTGAAAGTTGTAATAGGGAAAATATAACCTCTCTTATCATCGCGACTTATAATGGTCATGCTGATGTTTATCGTGAACTTACCGATCACGGTTAGACCAATGTGAATTTCTTATAAAACCGCTTTATTATTGGCTTCCTATGAAGGCCGCTAAAGTATTATTAGCTCGAGGTTTGTGATCTTTATTAATTTCTCTTTATCGTTAAAACAAAAAAATTAAATTTATGGATGGATCGCGTTAATGCTTCTAACCGTGTAGAAATGTGTCGGTTGTTGTTGGAGCATGATGCAAACAGATCCTTACGACGCTAGACATTTTGACTTGGCAAATATGATTGAGAATAACGTTTCAAGCGGGAATAAAAATAAGAATAATCATAATTATATTATTAATTATAATAATCTAAATAATAACAATTATAATAATAAACCAATTACCATTTCACTGATGAAAATATCGTTATTACTAATGTTCCTTCGCGTGAACTATCATCAAGTTTAGATTTAGATGTGATCTTAAATAATGTTAATATATCAGATAAATTCAGACGATACATTAATAAAGCTGTGTCGTATGCTAACTTTATGTTGAAATGAATACCCACGAAATATTATCATTGTCATCAATCCTTGTGCTCATACCAAACCTAAGATAGTAGATTAGATGTATTAGAGTCAATTTACAGAGAATATACACAAAAATTATCTTCACAACTAAATGTAGAGATCGAGAATGTATACAGAGAAGTGGTTAAAGTATGTTTAAATGATTTGCGAGATAATGGTATCAAATTATTATGCACAAATATCGTACAAAAAATTGAAATTATAAAGTAATTTCGGGTTCCTGATCTTAGACTTAATAAGAAGCCTACGAGCTAAGTGAATTAACGTTAATAACAAACTATTTGGACAACATTATGAAAAACGTGTTCTATGTACCTGATAGGCAGATAGTCTGATAGCCAAACATGGCCTTAACGGAAAGCAAAGTATGAAAATTTGATGGATCTAAGCAACCAGATTTTACTGTCTTAGTCAACTACCTGTCTCGGGCAACAAATGTGATTTATGTTGGTAAAGTGACCGGACCAAGCGAGAAAAATAACGTGTACAAAAACTGCCTTGACCTAATTAGAATCGGAATCTTCATGAAAGATTGTTGCTGATTCGGCAATTTCTCAGGAAGTACAGATCAAGAAAGATACTAGGATTTCAATATATTGCGGATCAAATAGATTTTTACATGCTTGATCTAAATGGTAAGACTTTACATGATGAATCACATTGCATAAATATCAGTACCAGCAACTATAAAGGATTTATACACCTTTATAGATGAACTTTATATTTTGTTAAATCTACGAGATATTTTATATGGATCTTACGATGCATTTATTGATAAACTTAAAAATCCGTAATTAGCTTCCTTTGAATTTTTAAAAGATAAACGTTAGATACTCCCATATTTAATGGACTCTTTAGTAAAACTTGATGTGTCAAAAGGGAATGTCCATGTTGGTTTAGACGATATTAATGTATTATGATACTGAAAGAAGTACCAATTTCTCAAGCTCTACCAACACTGAAATTTCATAAGTTAAACAGAAGATCAAACAAAAACTTACTTATTTCCTATGGTTAAATAGTTTTATAATGATTAGACAACATATTTCTTTTAGTTAGCTAAATACACAGGATATTAAATAAATACCCATTGGCATTTTTATGACTAATTATATATGTATTAGTTGAATTAATAAAGTTGCAAAGTGTAGGACTGAATTTATATATTAATCTTCCCATCAAAAATAACAATATTCAAAAAATTTTACCGTTATAACAGTGGGGGATATGTGACTGTAAGATTTTTTCTAACAAATTTCTGAAGTCTCATAAATATGTAAATAGATAGTATGAGGAAGTGGCAGAAGAAAATTTTAGCAATTAAAGTATGAATAATTTTTTTGGTTGTGGACTTATAGCTGTGCCTTGCAATGTGAAACAACACCCAAGTTGCAAACTAATTATTTATTTTTTTTCATTCAGATTTTAAAGATCTTATTAGCAATATGGAAGGCAGAGAACATTAACTTTCAGCGGTTACTAAGTTAATGTTAACTCATTTCTAAAAATGTAAGTCTTGTATTCAGAATATTAATTATTGGCAAACGAATAACTGGTGTGATCATAGGCATTAGTGTATCAATAAAGCCACATTTAACAGTTTAATTCTGATCATATATTTTGTAAAATTTTTATGAATGGATTTTGTATGATCTCTATATTCTGAAAATTCATCTGATTTTATTATTATAATTCTGTCATTTTCAGAATAACATTATCTGAAAATACTTAACACTTATTGGTCACATATTAATAATAAATAAGCTCATTATTGACAAATAGATTTCTACAAACAACTATTTACCATGAACTTCCTTGACCTTTATGACATATATCATGATATATCTCAACCCACGTACTATTCAGGCTCACGCAGTTCAAGAATTGATACCATTTTTGCCTTGTCTAATTTTACTTCTAAATTCTTATACTCTTATTTAGATACATCTACACTTTACTCCTCTAATCACAAGATAGTCTTCACTTCATTCGCTAACTATCAAAAGTATTCACATGCCAAATCTCATTTATTACAGAATAAAAAACAAGTCCCTAACTTAAGAGTTATGAACTTGTCTAAATAGATTGAATTCACTAATTATACTGAGTTCTATTATAAATATTATAACCTTAATCACCTTTTTAACCTTTCTAATAACAAAACCAATATGAATATTTTATGAATCAAAATCAAAACTGTTATCTTGATCACAAATAGAAGTGTTATACTTTAAGTTTGGATCTCATCGTAAGAATACAGTAAACAATCTTTTGATCAACTTACATCCCTCATAGCTACCCAAAAAGTTAGCTTATTCCTTCTCAATTTCAAGGGTTCAAAGATACAATTAAACTGCTGGCCTAATCCTTTCAAATGGTCTAATATCAAGAATACAATAGAAAAATTGATTATCACATTGAAACTCCTAGCATTCTCATTTCTCTTCTCCTTATACATTGATAATATCTTAGATGTTAAAACAAAGATTAAAGATTTTTACAAGTTTCTAACAGCATTAGCCAAGGTTAATGTTCAGAAACTAAAGAAATTCGCTATTAAATCCTTTATAGATAAGTATTGTGACAACTTACAAAATGATCCCTCTAAAATAATAGACTTCATCTTGAATAGAAAAAATGTTTTATAGTACTTGATCACTTGTTCATTGAAAATACGGACACAGAAAAAAAAAATTCACCATTGAATCAGAGGAAATTAAGAAGGTTATAGTGAACTATTTTCAAAATTTTGCTGTTCCTTCAACTTCAGTACTCCCTATGTTTTTTAGATGGTTCAATCAATACAAATCTAAAGACTATGTAAATGGACAGTACTATTCAAATCTTATACAACCTTCACCTATGATGAATGGTTAGCAGTTCTTAAGATTCTTCCCAATAACAAAGCCACCAGTTTCTCAGAGATTACTAACAAAATGATTACTCACTTAGGAGTTAAACTACAACAACTATTTTAAAAACTTATTTGTATGTGTTTCTCAATAGGTGACATTCCTAACAAATGAAAAATTGTGCATATCTATTCCATCCTTAAGTCTATAAAATGGGAATGCAATATTACTAAGATTAGACTTATCACTTTGCTAGAGACTGCTTAGAAAGGTTTTGTTAAAATTATCACTAATAGACTCTCGTGTATTTAGCTAATCACAATATTTTTAAAGAAGAAAACTTCGTCAAACTGCCAGGAGATTCAACTGAACTGCCTATAAAAATTATCAATATGCTACTTAAGGATGCTATTGAAAACAATAAAAAAATTTGAATCCTGCTTCAAGACCTCTCTAAGGCATACGATCAGATTAATTTATCCTTTCTTCACCTGATTCTTAATAGAATAAAAGTTCTCAAACTGATAATTGATCTCATTATTAATCTCTTTACTTCACAGAAAAATGCTATGTTTACAATGCACAGAACTTCAGACTTGTATAACGTTAAGATTGAAATTGACTAAGGTAAAGTTATTTCTCTTCTGGTATGATGCATTACCTAAACCTTTACTTTGTGAAGTGAGATTTCTACATAAAGGATACTTAATTGAGCATATTTAGATATCTGATATTATTACCTTAAATATCAAATCAATGTTAGTCACTATCTTTTCACTTACTTTTATGAATAACATAAATTAAAATTGCTAGCTCTAAATAAGACCTTGAAGGTGTCTTGCAGGTTGCAGATAAATTTTATGACTTCACTAGATCTGTACTATATAAAGATAAATTCAAATTGCTGATAACCTTTCATACAGATACATCATCTATTCCTATCAAATTTGGGTCAATCACAGTCAATATTACATCTGAAAATAGATCAGTCTGTTTCTTAAGAGTATGGATTAATAATCAATGATTATAAGTATTTGTCAAAAAATAACTTATATTTAATATAAATAATTTTGTTACTTCTATAAAATATAAACTGTTAACAGACAAACAACTTTTGTATATTATTAATATAGTGTTATATCTTCTGCTGAAATATTGTATGCAATTGACATTTCTATCATATAATGAATGTCTTAAGATTTTTGCACTTGTCTATACGCTTTTTAAACATAAAATTAAATTTGCTTCTACCCTTCCTAATTCCTTATTAAATTTCAAATAATATTATAAATTATATGACCTCTAATCACTTCAAATTAAATCACTTTCAACCGCTTTTATTTACTAATTTAACAATTCCTTTCTTTACATAAATATCTTTTTGATTCAACTTTTCAATTACAATCATGCAATATTCTTATTACTTCTCCTTTAAATTATTGATCACATTTCTTTAACAAACTTTTCTATAAAAATTTAATTAATGTCCCTCTTTCACTTATCAATTCTACATCTTCAAAACTCTCTTTTAACGTTTCTCCTCTCTTTATGAATAGAATAGTAAGAGACGCTCAACCATTTCCAAAATTCTATCTAATAGCTTCCTAATCAAATACAATAAGATCCTCACTAACCATAATTTATATTATTTAGATCAGTTAATCTCTTCTACAAGCCATTAATTAATTACTGAGTTCGATTTTCTTCTCAAAAATTTTGATTACAGTTCAAAAAGAATTAGTTCATCTGATTTTTTTTATAGACTAGAAATCTTGTATTAGATAGTCATGTATATAGAATGCTCAAACCTAAATATAGACTAGCTTCTCCCTTACCATATTACAAATTCATTTTTTTTGTATCTACTTAAATGAATAAAAGAAAGAAATGGTGTCATTATGAATTTTTACACTCAACGGCCCCTCTTTTAGAAAAATTATAGCTGATATCTCAAATAATAACCATCTCATCTGCTAAAATTTTACCTATGTTAACAATAACAGTAATATCTAAAGATGGCGTTATAATATTATGATGTTTATTTGTCATCTGTTATAACTTAAATTTTAATAATGTTGCAATTTATTGCAACATTATGATGCTTATTTATCACCTATTGTAACTAATTGAGATGCTATCTTTAGTAATATTTGTCAGCTTA